GACCCTTCAATGTCAGAGAAATACCTGGGCTGTTTTCTAAAACTCCATTTGTATCTAGGACATTGAGGTAAAAGTAGATTTTCTGAGTAAATGATCAGATCTGGCTTCTATTCCCAATAACTTTGTGAAAATAGACTCGTTCTTACAAACCAAAGACCCACTCTTGCTTCTGGCATTAGACACAGTTTGAATGGAGCATCCTATCCCATCTTCCTGAAACTATGGTTATTAGTCTAGAAAAGCCAGCAGATCTTGGAATGGTGCTTCCCTAGTCTACCGGCCCAGGCATCTCTTCAGTTTGGGCCTATGGAGTATCTCAGATTAACCCCAGTTGCCAGCCTCTCTCCAGAACCCTAGGTTAAGAGATTCTGACCTTAGGTCTGCAGTCCTTACCTGCTTTCCTCTTTTTCCTGGTCTTCCTGTAGGGCCCCGGTGTCCTGCTATCCCAGGCTCACCCTTTGGACCCATTTCACCCTGGAAAGAAGAAAGAGAGGAATTAAGATATGTGTATGTCTTAATTAATAGCAACAACATGTGATGTTGAGGGATCCCATGACTATTCAGTTCTACCCAGTCATTAATCAAGAAAGTGGTCTACTTGATCATTCCAAATCTTTTCCAAAAGGTGGAAAGAGTGATGAGGTCACGTGAAGGGTAGACAGTTGTTCAAGGAAGAGTCAGGCTAGGAGAAGGTATCCCTGAAAGAGAAGGCTGCTGGGCAGCACATGTTTTGGTGGACAGATTGGACCATTTGGAATAGTGAAAGTGGAAGGTGTGTGTGCTTCAATCTTAGGTGACCATCTGAGGAAACATTTTTTCTTTTTGTTGAAATGCTTTGTTTTTTGTTTTAAGGACAAATTCCAACGTGTGGGTTTTTGAGTGATTTGTCATAGTTTTGACAAAGATCATCTTACAAGCTTCTGCTTAATAGGATGAGCACTGCAAAGTCAGCTGTTCAAATCCTCCAGTTGCTCCTCAGGATAAAGATGGGGCTTTCTGCTGATGTAAAGATTTATAGACTTGGAAATCCAACCCGGTGTTGCTTTGAGTTGTAAACGATTCTATAGCTTTGGTTTGGGTTTAATTATTTAGAATTATATATTTCTCCATTCTTCAGTAAAAAAAACCTGGTTTGAGTATCAACTTACATCTATTTGAATTAGATCAAAACACTTTTTTTGTGTGTAGAAATTTCCCAATCAGATTTCAGATACACAACATAACTACTGTAAAAGACATAGAAAGTAATTTAAGCAAGATTCCTAATGAAAAGGTCCTATTTTGAACCCTTTGTGTGGTGCTGTAGGATAAACACTGGACTGCTAACCACTAAGATCTGCAGTTTAAACCCACCAACTGATCCTGGGAAAACCCACACAGGACCACTGTAAAGTTGGAACTGACTGAGCGACACTTAACAACAACATTTTGAATGATTAGAACCAAATGCCCTAATTGCATAATTCATAATTTAAGACCAACCCTTTGAGAAACCTATGTCTTCATTTTAGTTTCTCTCCTTCTTCCCTACCTTCTTCTAGTATTCCAGTTCAACTTGCTCTTTCTTTGGGTCACAAACCCACAGAGCTCATCATTCATATACCAATAACTCCCTTAAAACCAAGAATGCATTGCTAGCAAGATCAGATAGACAACAACAACAACTCTGAGTGTTTCTGTCAACAGCTGTGCACAAGAGCTGCCCCAGCCATGGAGAGCACACTGAATACCCAGCCAGCTTTTCACATGGAGGTCAGAGGGGAGAGGCAGAACATGGTGGAAAATTCCAGGGAACACCAAGCATAAAGTTTTGAGATTATCTGTCCCTACCCAAGCCATCAAAGTCTTGTCTCACTAAGAATTATCCTTAAATTTATGATTCCTTTCCAACGTGTCCTGTCCTTCAGCATTCTAGACAGCGAGAAAACATGAGAGGATAGCATAAATTCTACATGGCCGTGGACATGTTTGTATAGCTTTCCCTTGGTTATTTGGGGAGAAAGTTGTAGGGGGTATGATGGGGGTCTTGTTTAGATGAAAGAAAATGGCATAAACATATTAAATGGGTTTTTTTGTTTTGTTTTTTTAAATTGTCAGAAGGGAAGTGTAGCCCTTCCCTTCACCAACTAGAAGCAGCCAGTAATTTCTTGATCTAATTTCTCTCCTAAGACCTAATTATGGTTATCATATCAGCTCTGTCTTAAAACAGCCTCCCATGAATGGGAAAGAAGACTCTTTAGAGGCAAGTCTAATAGATGGTACAGAGCCCAGAGAATCTGTCATATTTAATTTTACAGGAATTTATTACCCTTTGAAGTCCACTGTCACACCAAATGAAAACCCAGTGTAAACCTTTTTAAGTAAAGGTTTTTTTTTTTCCTCTTTGAATGTTCTTTAATTTGTGAATCTATATTCTTTAACCCTGTACCCCATTTGGTGTAGATTAAGATCGTGATAAACCATGGTAAATTAGTAGAAGATGATTAAGATTATTTAAATATGTTCTGCCTGCCAAGGATCAGATAAAAAATTACTTATTCAAGTTGGGGAAATAAAACTTTAAGGAGAACTTTAAAAATAATTAAAACATCCCAATAAGACATCCCATTTGCATGGTTAGAAAACATTGTATCTGGAGGCCTAGGTTAAAATATTATTTACAGTGTTGATGCTTTATAGCATGAGGAACCAACATTATGATGTTGAATTAGTTTATCTCGTTTGCTCTCTTTAGTCTGACACTTCTCTCAGCCCTCCCCCGTTTTCCTCCCAGACCCTAACTGTAAGTTGTTGTTGTTAAGTGCCATCCAGTCAGTTCTGACTCATAGCGACCCTGAGGGGCAGCTGGTGGGTTTGAACCTTGTGGTTAACTGTCCAGTATTTATCCTAGAGTACCACACAGGGACTAGTAAATTCCCCCAAATCTGTCAGACAGTTGTAACCTTCATAATTTTTTCTTTATAAATTAGTCCATTGTTATTTGCTAAATATTTTGTCTTTGAATCAACTGAAATTGATTCCTTTTTTATTTAGTCTTGTCTCAGGCATATAATTACATTAACTGTTTAATTATTTAACAACAACAACAAAATTAACTAGCAAAAGTTTTTAAATACGTTTGCGGTCAACCAGCTAAAATGATTTTGTGTGCTTGGGGACGCACTGAGTCATAATACTTTACGAATTCTAAAATCAGTTGCCATTGAACTGATTTTGATTCATGGAGACCCCATGTGTGGAGAATAGAATGGTGCTTGCTCTGTAGGATTTTTAAGGCCTTTTGGAAACAGATCACCAGGTCTTTCTTTCAAGGTGACTTTGGTGGATTTGAACAATCCATCTTTTGGGTTATAGTCAGGTGCTTAACTGTTTGTATCAGCCAAGAACTCCAAGAGAAAGGAAAAGCAAAGACGGGCCTTTCCCTCCCATTGAGCTGGAAGACAGGAAGATCTCAGAACCACCTGCCACCTTCTCATCAATGTGTGTACGAACGTGCTCCTACTTCAAACCCAAACGTTTCACAGTAAACCCACTTTCCCTGCTTCATAAACATTGAGGCAGAATTCTTTTTGTTGTGCTTGGAGGGCCAGATAACACACTGAGACTCATTTCACTACTTCCAGGGACTTACTTTCTGTCCCAACATTCCAGGGAATCCCGGGAAACCCTGTGAAAAGAATAACAGACACAGTGACCATCTCAGTAGCTGCCTGTTTGAAAAGGTTGTGGGAGAACTTGGTCAGCTGTTTTCAGAATGAAGCCCTGTTAGTCAGTCAGCCTGTCAGTCCATAAGAAGGCAGTGGCTGAGGGGTCCCCACTTCCATGTAGTTAGTCATTTCTATAAATGGCCATTACCTTTTCTCCTTTGGGACCCAAGGCACCCCTTTCACCTCTTGATCCCTAGGAGGAAACCATAGGACAGAGTCAGTGGGTGGTGGGAGGACTGGATCATGTTTACAAGCAAGTTGAAAAGTACCCCAAGCCAACACACTTATTTTAAAGCAAGAGAACAGGTTCAGAGATGCCAGATGACTTGCCCAGGGAGAGAATGCTTTGAGATCTATCTTCTGTTTGAACCTCAAAGACCTACTGCTTTAAGAAAAGACAACTCACAGAAAATTCTAGGTCCCAGGTTCTCTTTCATCCTATAGACAATTTGTCCCCTGGTTCCAGCTGCTGGTTTTGTCTCTGAGACATCAGGGAAAGTGTCTGTGTTTTGAAAGATGAGAAGGCTGTATGATGGAAACTTGGTCTAAAGACACACATCCACTATCTTCTTCCAGCAGCCCCATGCAAAATGTGCTCATTCTCTCCCTATCAAAACATTCATTTGTTCATCTGCTATGTAAGGGGTCTCTATCTTCACTTGGAAAAACACCTCCCCCTATTGAAGGCACCCTTTCCTCCCTGCTTCAGGAGGCATCTCACTACTGTTCCTGCTCACTGATGAAGGACAGGGGGACACTTAGGAATGGATGCTACAGTCTCTGGCTAAATAGAAACCTGGGTCTATCCTCTCTTCTACTCATCACTGACCAGAGTTCACAGCCAAGACCAGGCTCTGGGAAGCCATCAGGAGCAAGTACTAACCTTTTCCCCTCTGGATCCAGGGTACCCCTAAAAGAAAGAAGAAGCCATTTACAGTCATCCCTGTAGGGTTTTTGGACTTTATTCAAGAGTGAAAAGAATTCCATAACATAGTCTAAAGATATATCTCTAATACAAAGGTGTCCAACATAGTCTAAAGGTGTATCTCTAATACAAAGGTATCCAACAGTCTAAAGGTGTATCTGTAATACAAAGGTGTCCAACATAGTCTAAAGGTGTGTCTCTAATACAAAGGTGTCCCAGAAGGTTACGTTCAAATCAGGCCTAAAAAGAATGTTGCTTTTCATCCCTGAAAAATATCCAACCTACTGCTGTTGAGCTCTGGTAGCGTAGTGGTTACGAATTGGGCTGCGAACCACAAGGTCATTAGTTTGAAACTACCAGCTGTTCCATAGTAGAAAGATGAGGCTTTCTGCTCCTGTAAAGATGCACAGCCTCAGAAATACTGTACAGGGTTGCTATGAGTCCGAACTGACTCCACAGCACATAACCACCACCACTGCTGTTGAGTCCATTCTGACTCAGATAGTAACCCTATGTTGTTGTTGTTATGAAGTGTTGTCAAGTTGACCTATATTGACCCTGTAAAGGGTTTCCGAGGAGTGACTGGTGAGCTTGAACCACCAACCTTGTGGTTCAAACTGACCTTGCAGTCCAGTGCATTAACCCACAGTGCCACACCAGGACTCCAACAACCCTAAAGGTCTAGACAAAGGTTTCTACCTGCTTTGTTGTGCAGAGGCTTGACCCTCACTGCCCACAGGAGCCACAAGAACGGCATTCCTTACACCATTCCCCAAGGCAGATACACTAGCACCAGATCTCCAATCTCGGAACCATTCCCTAGCCCCGGAAGGCAGACCCACCCAGTCCTCATCTTTGCAGACAGCAGCCATTTAGCGAAACAGAGCACCTGGACCAGCAGACTGACCTTGGAGCCCATTGGTCCTCTTGACCCTGGCAAGCCCATCATACCCAGGTCTCCTTTTTCACCCTGCAGGATTAGGAGGGAGAGAAAAAAAGGACCAACAGTGACATTGCTTGGAGAAACTGAACCAGGAGCATTAGTGGCAAGCTGTGGACAACAAGGGGCATCAGGGTGACTTGAGAATCTGAAGCCCCTCAAATTCCCCTTGCTCATTCCCAGGTCCCAAGACTCCATAGGCCATATTTTATTTTGGTATTGAAGATGAAATAAAAAATTCAACTAACATTTGAAAAATGTAAATGTAGAGCAAAGCAGCTCTACAATCTAACTGCTCACTGTTATTGGTGTTGTCAAGTTGATTCTGACTCATAGCAACCCTGTAAGGCAGAGAAGAACTGACCTACAGAGTCTCCTAACTGTAAGCCTTTGTCTCATGGAACAGGTGGGTGGTAAACAGAATGTGGAATGCACTCAGTATGAAAGAAGGAAAATTGGAAGTTGGCAAAAATGAAATGGAACGCTTGAAGATCAATATCCTAGGCATTAGTGAGCTGAAATGGACTTGTATTGACCATGAGGAATGGGAGAAACATAAGATTTACTATTCTAGGTATGACAAATTAAAGAAAAATGGCATCACATTTAGCATCAAAAAGAACATTTCAAGATATATCCTAAATTATAATACAGTTGTTGTTAAGTTCTGTCAAGTCAGTTCCGATTCATAGTGACCCTATATAGGTTTCTGTGGAGTAGCTGATGTGTTTGAACCAACAACCTTAAATTTCAAACCAACCTTGGATTCTAGTGCTTATTCTACAGCGCCATACCAGGAATCCTCATGATACTGTTAGTAAGAGGAAACTATTCATACACCACAGGGAAGACCAGTTAATACTAATATACTTCAAATTTATGCAGTAACCACTAATGCCAAAGATGAAGAAACTGAACATTTTTGCCAACTTATTCAGTTTGAAATTGATCAGACATGTAATCAAGATGCACTGAAGTACTTGGTGGTTGGAATTTGAAAATAGAAAACAAAAAAGGATCAGCAGTTTGAAAATATGGTCTTAGTGATAAAAATGATGCAGGAAAATACACGATTGAATTTCGCAAGATCAACAACTTACTCATTGCAAATACCTTTTTTAAACAACATAAACCAGGACTATACACACGGACTTTGCTGAGCGGAATACATAGGGATCAAATCAAAAGAAGCAGTGGAGAAACTCAATATTGTAAGCCAGAACTAGGCTAGGGATCAACTGTGTTGCTCACATGCAACTTCAAGTTGAAGCTGAAGAAAATTAAAACAAGTTCACTGTATTCACAGCATGACCTTGAATATATCCCATTTGAATTTGGAGACCATGCCAAGAACATATTTGATGCATTGAACACTAATGGCCAAAGAACAGACGAGTTGTGGCATGACATCGAAGAAATCATACAAAAGCAAAGGAAAAGGTCATTAACCAGACAGGGGGACAAAGATTCAAATGGATGTCAGAAGAAACTCTGGAACTTGTTCTTGAACACAGAGTAGTTAAAACAAATGGAAACAGTGATTGCTTAAGAGGTGAACAGAAGACATCAAAAGGTGGCTTGTGAAGACAAAGTAAAGTATAAAGAAATTTGCAAATACCTGGAGTTAGAAAACCAAAAGAGAGAAGTACTGTTGACATGTATCAAGCTAAAAGAACCAAAGAAAACAAGCAAGTATATAGAACGACTCTATGGGCAAACCATTCAATGACACAAGAAGCATCAAGGGAAGATGGAAGGAATGAATATACAGAGACACTGTACCAAAAAGGAAATGGCCAACATTCAGCCATTTCAGGAGGCAGCATATGATAAAAACTCATAGTACTGAAGGAGAAGTTCAAGTCTCACTGAGGAATTGGAAAAAACAAAACAAAACAATATAACAAGGCTCCAGGAATTTACAGAATATCAATTAAAATGTTTCAGTGAATACATGCAATGCTGGAAGCACTCAATTGGCTATGCCAAGAAATTTGGAAGACAGAGCTACCTGGCCAACCAAATGGAAGAGATCAAGAACTATACCTATTTCAAAGAAACATGATCCAATGGTATGTGGAAATGATCAAATAATATCATTAATATCACATACAATTAAAATTTTCCTTTTCAGGAAAATTTTGAATTTGAATTTTCCTTTTCAGGAAAATTTTGAATTATTTTCATAATTCAAAAAATGATTGCAGCAGTACATGAACAGGGAACTGCCAAACATTCAGCCTGGATTGAGAATTAATCATTAAATATGGGTTATCATTGCTGATGTCAGATGGATTTTGGCTGAAAGCAGAGAACACTAGAAAGACACTTACCTGTGTTTTGCTGTGTATGCAAAGGCATTTAACTGTGTGGATCATAACAAATTGAGGATAACATCTTGGGGCAAAATTTCAACTGTGAACCTGTGAACTCTAGAATACAAGTTATCTGTTTGCAAAGTACAATGATGGAATAAATACCAGGTAGTCATTTCCATTTCAAATGGGAACTGGAGGAAAAGAAAGAAATTATTAGTACTATTGTGAAGAGTGGAAATTCCAAAACACTTAGTTGTGTTCATGAGGACCCTGTACAATGACCACAAGGCAGTCATTTGAACAGAACAAGGGGATACTGCATAGTTTAAAATCAGAAAAGGTGTGCATCAGGGTTGTATCCTTTCAGCATACTTATTCAATCTGTATGCTGAGCAAATAACCTGAGAAATTGACCTATATGAAGAATATGACATCAGGTTGGAGGTTGATTCATTAACAACCTGTGATATGCACATGACACAATCTTTATTGCTGAAAGTGAAGAGGACTGGACGCATTTACTGATGACTATAGAAAAAAGCAACAATCCTCAAAACTGGACCAATAAGCAACATCATGATAAATGGAGAAAAGATTGAAGTTGCCAAGGATTTCATTTTATTTGGATTCACAATCAACGCCTATGGAAGCAGCTGTCAAGATATCAAACTACATATTGCTTTGGGTAAATCTTCTGCAAAAGAAAAGACTCTCTAAAGTGTTAAAAAGCAAAGATGGTACTTTAAGGACTGAGATGTACCTGAACAAAGATGTAGTATTTTCAATTGCCTCAGATGCATGCAAAAGCTGAACAATGGATACGAAAGACTGAAGAAGAATCAATGCATTTGAATGATGGTGGTGGTGAAGAATATTGAATATACCACAGACTTCCAAAAGAATGAACAAATCTGTCTTGGAGGAAGAGCAGGTATAGAATCGAGGATGGTGCATCTCTAGTTCTTTGGACATGTCATCAGGAGATACCAGTCCCTCGAGAAAGGCATCATGCTTGGTAAAGTACAGGGTCAATGAAAAAGAAGAAGACCCTCAATGAGACAGGTTGCCACAGTGGCTACAAGAATGACTCAAACATGGCAGTGATTGTAAGGGTGGTGCAGGACTGGGCAGTGTTTTATTCTATTGTACCTGGGGTTGCTATGAGTCCAAGCTGACTGAACAGCACCTAACAGCAAAAACAATTTTACATTTAAAGTGCATTTAAAAATCAAATGCTAAATTTTCTTTGGAAACACATGTCGTTATTTAGACTTCATAAAACTTAAAGCTGAAGAAACAGATTCACACACTGAAATTATTCCAAACACCCTTAAAATTAATCAGTTTTTAAAGATAAAATATAAATTAATTAAAATGAACTGTGTTCCGCAGTTGTTCTGACCTCCTTTCAAGTGCTCATCAGACACATGTGGTAAGTGGCTGCCATATCAGACAGCTCAGCTCTCTAGAGGTAGATTTTTCAAAGAAAAGTCCTTGGAAGTTTTGCTAAGGGGACTGGGAACAGTTTCCTTATCTCATAAAATAGCCAATAGGTGAATCAGAGCAGATAGTGACACACCCATCCCCTGACTTTTGAGTTCCAGTCTCTGCACCCTTTACTCGGACCCACAGAAAGAAGGACGAAAACAATGGATGCATTTGGTCCCTAATCTGACTGAGGAAGAGGATTTCATAAACATTTGGTGCTCGCTCTGGTAAGGTAGTAGTTATGAATCGGGCTGTGAACCATAAAGTCAGCAGTTCGAAACTACCAGCTGTGCTGTGGGAAAAAGATGAGGCTTTCTGCTCACGTAAAGATTTACGGCCTCGGAAACCCTGTACAGGGTCGCTATGAGTCAGAACCAACTTGACGGCACATAATCACCACCACCATCTGAAGGCAGCATTACAGTCTTGCCAGTCAGCCAACACCCACCCTCTCAGCCCTCTACCCACTGCCAGATTAGCAGGACAGGCTGAGAGCTTTCCAAATACAAGCCCTCTTAGGTAATTTTAGGTAAAATATAAAAAAAAAAAATAGTGATCTAAGTCTCAGGCAAAGGTGAACCAGGTCAGCTGTGCAAGAGGGGAGTAGAGCCCTTGGACTGATCCAGGACTTGCAGTCAAAGTGAAAAATGGAATATTCAGAAACCTGGAACTCGAGTATTTACCCAAAACGGAAGATCCCAACCCTGTGACAGAGCTTCTGCTTTCTTCCTCTCCTCTTAAGGAAATGAGTTTCACTAACTCGGTGCCAGGGGCCACAGGAGCTGCCATCTTCTCCCCTCATGTTTGGATACCCCATGAGCCCCAAATAAGCCACACTTACCCTGGGTCCTTCAGGGCCTGGCCAGCCGACAGGCCCAGCTATGCCCGGAGCACCTGGGGGGCCAGGTCTACCCTTCAAAGACCAAGAACAAAAGTCAGGACAATTGTTTTCTTCCTTTAAGGGAGTAAGACTGGTCTCTGAGACCATGAGGGGAGTGTCAGGACTCCAAGCACAGCCCCTAAGTCCCTCATCCTCACCTTCCAGAGACTGGTAGCTTTGACATGACCAATTGGGTCAGTTGAAGAAAAGTGAAAGCCCTTAGTGTCACATTGTGGTTAGCAAACAAAATCTTAATCTATTCAAGAAATGGAAGTAGTAGGGGAGGGACTGTAGGCTTCTTGTGTTTTCTCTCTTTACCACCTCCACCAATTGGCCCCTGCATTCCGATGGGTCCCAAAGCTGAGCTGTAGAATGGGATATAGTTACGCTTTAGAATGGGATATAGTTACGCTTTGCAGGCGGTAGCAGGTGCTATTGATACTCCTTTGAGATCTTTGTTACCTGCTCAGTGTGCTCATCCCACAGGGGGCTGCCTTCATTGCTACTAGTAGCTTATTTCTGTAGCCTACAACTATGGAATTCGTTCTTGGTCAGTTGGGAATGGCTAACAATTGGTGTTCCTTCTCTGCCTGCAGCCAGAGTCTAGTTCCCTTGCCTCAAGATGGGGCGAACTCTGTGGTGCAATTTACACTCCAGAACTTCCCCAGGGATCAGACTGAGACTAACGTTCACCTGATACCACGTTTACCTGGCTCCTTCCCCTGCTTCACCCAGCTCCTCCCACTTCCCTATAAGTATCTCTTAGGAGTGCTCTCTTAATAATTAATTCACTTGCACAGAATATAGGCCATCTCTGTCTCTGTTTCTAGGAAACACAACCTAAACTAGGAGCAATGGTTTAGCTAGCCTTGCAAGAGAGAGTGGAAGCTAGCATTGGTGTCTATGTTGAGCTCTACCTCATTGACTCACTTGATATTTAGCTTAGCTAGAAATGTGGACAGCTCAGGTCCCAAAACCAGAGATGACAAATGTTGACATGTGTATTGGTTTCTATTTTTGCCTCTCACATCCATAAAATACTTCACTAATCCATCATGGCCCCCATTAACTCTGGGCATGGAGGCTGGTCCAGAATCCTCTTCAGCTCAGCATTTGAGATGGTTGCAATCATCTGTGCCTCAAAGAGCTGTATCTTGCAAAGGTCTATTTGGGGTTCTTATTGGCAGTGCACTCACTGGAGCAAAGCATTTAACCAGAAAATAAACCAAAAATGTAATTTATATTTAGAATCACAAACATCTTTCTTGGCCAAGATTTTTCAATTATGCCTATCACCAAGACCTAGATTTTCAGTGCCAGAATCCACTGAGCACAGAGGATAAAAGAGGTTTACTCCCTCTTAACATTAATGAGTCCTGATCACATGTGTTTGGTTCACTCAGAGCCATTGTGAAGTAAGGAATGCAAATTAATTTCAGCATGGCCAAAGCGCAAAAGCCATTTGTTTATTTCTGTTCTGGTGCTTTATTCTAGTTTAATCAAATAGACAATGTGAACCATGTGTGTTACTGGCTTGGGGCTTGGGGGTTTCTCTAATGGGTAGTAGGAAGAGATGGTGTGAAGCGGGGGAAATTTGACAGGGCTGGGTGGCCTTTAGAGCAGGCTCCGGCTCTTGGTAGAAGATGTGGGCTGAAAAAGTTCAGCTTCTAACTGATGGTAATATAACCGTTGTAGTCTCATTGGGTGCTGGGAGCATTAAGCGCATCTCTGGTTCCCCCGCCCCCTGGAGCATATACACACCCATGGAACACACTGCCCAAGTGCTGCTGAAAGAACAATCTGTACCATACCTTCCTTCCTGGTCGGCCAAACTCCCCCTGTGGAAGAAGACGACAGATAAGCACAGATTGCTTTGGAAGAGAAGTTCTGGAAGCATAATGTTTAGTGGGACTGACAGTTGGCATGACCGTGTGTCTGGGTCTGTCTGGCTACTCACAATACCCTGCCAACATGTACAGGTGGAATCCCACCTGCAGCAGCATCCCAGTCTTCCCAGAGCCCATCCTCACTCTGAGGCAGAATTAGCACATGTTTTGAAATTTCAACTGGAAAACCTTTGAACAATAGAATTCTCAATAGCATCCCCAGAAAACAGGCCAGACTGACCAAGGAGAGATGGATTGAAGAAATGGAAGATCATACCTTTTCTCCTTTTGGTCCTGTCTTGCCAGGAAGCCCCGGTGGACCCTAAACAGTCAAGATAAGAACAAAAAAAGTGTAAGTCAAGCCAATCAGGTGGTGAGGGTACAGGAACAGTGGGAGCAGGTGGAGGAGGCTCTAGGCCCTCTGGCTTGCTCTCTTATGCAAGACGCAGATGCAGGGCTCCAGGGACCCCACGAACAATGCTCTTGCCCAGTCCCCTTCCCTCTGCACCTCCTCCTCTTCTAGTTTTCTCTGAGCTGCCTTTCCAGTACTATCTAGTCACAGTGCTCATACATCAAAATCACTCTTTGTGATTTTCATTTCATCACTGGAGCCCTTTGGTTGCTTGAAACAACCCAAATACTTGGTGAAAGCAACTCAAGAGGCTTGAAGAAATTCCATTGCTTGAAAACAAGAAGTTTTACCAATTCACAAATCTTTTCAGCAACTTTTACTGAAGCTTCCCTGGGGCCTTGACAAAAGAGAAGGCAAGTTCCACACATAACAGAAGCACACTTATAAACTCTCATGGTTGATCTACGGGTGAAAAACAGCTGCTGTAGAGCTGGTTCTGGTTCATGGTGACCCTATGTGTGTACATAGAACTGTACTGCACAGTTTTCAGTGGTTGATTTTGTGGAAGCTGGTTGCCAGGTCTTTCTTTCAAGGCACCTCTGACTGGTGCTAACATCCAATTTTTTTAGGAGGCAGTCAAGTATGCTAATCTTTTGAACCACCCATGGGCAGTGATCTTTGGGTTGTTGTTAGTTGCCCTCGGGTAAGCTCTGACTCCTTGTGACCTTAGGTATAACTGGGTGCCAGATGACTGTCTTCTTTCCTCATTCAGCAGCAAAGTTACTCATTTTTACAATGTAAAGAATGTGGGCAAGTGGTGCGTTTTCACTCCTTGCCCAGCCACAGGATCAGGGCTGACCCTAGTTTAGGGACATTAGGACACACTGCACTAAAACTTTTCACAACCAGAGCCAGAAAGCAGCTGATTTCAGTTCTGTGAACTGCTCAGTTGGCTGTTCTCCAAATCCCCCAGAATAGTAGGTTGGAAATCCATCAAAATGCCCAGGTGCTCCTTCATCCCCCAAACCTGTAGTCGACACAAATAACAAAAATCAGATGATCTGCAGTAAATCAGGCTGCAGAACCCCTGGGGATCTTTCAAGTACTCTGAAACCCCAGCCACACCCTAAACCAACTGAATCACTATGTCTAGGGAAGGGACCACTCCTCAGAAACCCAATACAGGATTTCCGTGAGTCAGAATGGACTCCACCAACACTTAACAACACCAACATAGACATAAAGAGATGTGAGCACATATTGGGGAAGAGAGGATCACCAAGAACCAAGCCATGCCTGGTACTAATGAGGCAGAAATTCATACAGCCAAAGCTCTAATTTGGACTGTTAACCTCCAGAACTGTGAGAAAACGAATTTCTGTTCAGCACTAGAAAACATTCTACAAACTTTATCTATAAAGAGTCAGATATTAAATATTTTAGTCTTTTTTGACTACAAGTTCTCAGTCAAAACTACTCAATTCTGCACTTGTAGCACACAAGCAGCCATAGACGATGAAACTTTAATTACACAAACAGTCGCCAGTCATTGCCATAGGATTTACGTTATGCTGAGGGTGTGAGAAAATAGTCTTGGGCTGATTCATCTTCAGGACTAAGGGGAATCTCATGGGTAGCAGGCTAGCATAACGAAAGGAGCACATGGGAGAAGAACAGACTAGTTCAACCAGCTAGAAATTTCAAAATAAGAATACACCCATCATGGAAACAGGGGAAGTTCATGGGGAGGAGGGAAACTAACTTTAAATGAGAATGCTACCAGTAAGGACTTGTAGGTGATGTGTTGGAGGTACATTGTAAACTCCATTGTTGTTGTGAAGTGCCCTGGAGTTGGTTCCAACCCATAGCAACCCCGCATAGGGTTTCATAGCAAACCTATGCGGGGTTGCTATGGGTTGGAACCCAGTGAACTTGAACCACTGACCTTGCAGTTCAAATGACTTTGCAGTCTGGCACATTAACCCACAGTGCCAAACCAGGACTCCATGATGGTGGTGGTTATATGCTATGGAGTTGGTTCTGACTCATAGTGACACTGTACAGGGTTTCCGAGGCTGTAAATCTTTAGAGGAACAGAAAGCCTCATCTTTCTCCTGCAGAACCGGTTGTTGTTTTGGACTTCTTGCCTTTTTGTTTCCCGGCCCATTTCTTACCCCTTTTGTTCCCGGGGTTCTTTTTGGGCTTCTTTGTTTTCCGTTAAAGGGGGACTTGGGGGAGGGTTTTTTTCCAGACAGAGGAATAAAACTCTTTGCGAGCCCAATTTTGCAAAATCGAATAAAAACCTCATTCTCACTAAAATCAGTACAGATTGGATTTCTTGAGTGCTTGTCGGTATCGACAACGTTTCTCACAAGGGAAGACCACAGAAACCAGAAACTAGCAAATGTATCTATCACTGAACGAGATAACTGTGCAGAGATTTAAACTAGATGCTTGTGATGGAGAGAGACTGGAGACTAGGTGGCTGAAGATGGCATTCCTAAGGAGGTGAGATTTTGAGTAACCAAAAGGAGCTGGCCATGGTAAAAATCAGAGGAAGAACATACCAAACAGTAGGAACCACACTGCAAACATCCTATGGCTGCAACAAGCCTGAGTGTCTGAAGGCCTGAATGGAGGTCACTGAGCCTGGAGTGGATAATAGGGATGGTTTCATGAGATGGTACAGTCTCCATGGTCCCCTCCTGGGCAGCTTTGTAATCCAGGGTATGGAGTTTGGATCTCAGTCTTCAGTGAAGGGAAGTCACAGGAGGGTTTTACTTAGGGGAACATCATCATTTCTATGCCCCTGCATGGGGAACCCACTTATGGAACTTGCACCCCTACTTTGTACTCTCTTGCATGGAAGTCCTGAGCCCAGGCCCAGGGTCAATCCTCATTGGTGGAGCCCCCTCTGATGCTAGAGGAGCCACAGTTTGTGAGATGCTGTCCCTGGGGGGATTATTTTTTTCCACAAAAAAGTACTTTGAAGAGAGCAAACAAGATGGTGGATTGGGTGGAAGTGCAGTAAAGGAGCTCTGCCAACAGTAACACAGAATACCCGACCAAGCAGGTTTGGGGAATGTCCCCAAACTCTGAACCACATATAAAGGAATATTTAGAAGGTTGGAAGGCTCACAGCTGGGGGAATTTGTGGCAGAAGCAAGAACTCTATTGCTTTCTAATCCGGGATGCTCGGCTGCTCCAGGAGCTGCCATCTTGGGTGAGACCAGGTGAGGGAAGGATCAGAGGGGCACCAGACGCCTGGCAGAATCGCTGAGAAAAAGGTATGAACATTATTTTCTTTTGGTATCTGTTCATTGGTCCCTTGCTATCTGCGCACCTCCATTCT